AACTCCGGGAGGTCCGGAGGGGGCCACAAAGGCTTCCACTCCGAGGGGCCCATCAAGTCCCCGTTCGGGGTGGTGAAGGCGTCCTGGCTGCCCGTGTTCTCCGACTCCCAGAAGAGCAAACGCCTGCCCACCCCGTCCATGATGAACGACTACTATGCGACGTCGCCGCGAATATTCCCACATTTGTGTTCTCTGTGTAACCTTGAATGCACTCAGATGAAGGTGAGTGTCTTTCCCAGATTATTCCCTAAGCGTGTGCCCGGCACCTCTCCTGCTGCCCTGTTTTGGGGGCAGGCTGTTTTCCCGGGAGCTCTCTGGATTGGGGTGCCGGTCGCCGGCCCGAGTGCCGATGTGGCTGTAATGGCTGTAACGCCGTGTTCCTTCCCCAGTTGCACCTCACAGCTGTTTTACACGTTGAGTTTTAATTCTGTTTAATATCACAAGTGGTTTCTGCCTTTGCAACGGGTTTCAAACAACAGCACAAACCCTTGGCAGTGGAGGGAAACGTTAACGTCACCGGGGGGACTAAAATCATGTCACAGGGTGGGGAGACGTTCATGTGTTCACCCTCCCTGCTCCAAACTCTGCCTTCAAACAAACCAGCCCATTTAGAACCCGAAATCTCATCTTCCAGACGTGCTCTGTGTGAATGTTCCAGAGGCTGGAGCCTGGCTCGGGGGGACACACAAAATGCCTCCATTCATCCGGCCCAGCTTCCAGCTCTGAAGGGAGTCACAGTCCAGCCTTGAAGGGAGAATAAAAGGGGAAACTGGTGGATACTGGGAGATAAAAAAACATCCTGGAAGCTGTGGCTTTTCCTGGAAAGCCCAGCGTTTGATGTATCAAAAATAAGGGAGGGGGTAACGAAAAACACTGAATAATTCATTAATAATTTTTTCACGTGTTTATGTTGCACACAGTATTTGAGCAACGTGGGGAGAGGCTGGGGGGGGAGGGACTTTTTGTAATTTGGCAAAATCCCGGAGGTTTTGGGCCCTGTTTCTGCTGTGAATTGAAAAACTGACTGCCTGAAGGTGGGTTAGGGAAGAATAAACAGAAATTCCCAAGGTCTTTCCCCCAGGAAGCACTGAGGGCCAGGGAGATGGGCAGCTTGGAAGTGGGAAAGGAAGTCTGATTTGAAATAAAAATGGGTGAAATTGAACAAATGGGGGGGGTGTTAACAAAGGGGAAAAGGGAATTTAGAAATTGAAGGGAAAAATAAAGGGAAGAAGAGAAGCACTTTGGGAAAGCAGGATCTGTGTAAACGGGAATTCTCCAGTCTCTCGCTTACGGGAGCCTGGGAAAATGAAGCAAATGTTGTTACTAAAAATACTTGTTGACAAATTAGCTGGGAGGTTTTGGGGGTGGATTGAAGGTTATGAGCTCTTGTCCTGGTGGCCCTGCAGCACAGGATGTGTTCCCAGACATCCTGATCCGACTGCGGCCTCCCAGCCTCTGCTCCTGTCCCGCCTCCTGTGGCTCTGGCCTGGATTAGCTCCCTCCAGGGCAGTGTTTGGGGTCTGTGCACCTCAGGCCTCACGGGACCAGCCCTGGTGACACAACAGTGGAGCCAAAGAACCAGAAGAGTCGAAGTTTTACTGCAGAAAAGAGAAGTTTGTTGAAGAAACACTCGTCTTGTGGGTCGGCGACGTGCAGCGAACGAGCAGTCCCTGGGTTTGGTTCTGCAAATCACCTGTCTCAGCTGAGACCCCCCTGCAGAGCTGCCCCAGCCCTGGGAACAGCAGCACAGGGACGTGGAGCTGCTGGAGAGAGTCCAGAGGAGGCCCCAGAGGTGCTGCCAGGGCTGGAGCCCCTCTGCTCTGGAGCCAGGCAGCAAAGGGCAGAGTGTGACCCGAGAGCAGCTGGACGGTGGAAGGTGCTGAGTGAAGAAAGGCTTCTCTTCACCCCACTCCTGAAGGTGCTGAGTGTCTGAGGGGCAGGTTCCAGTCATGTTACAGTGGGGGGTTCCCAGTTCAGGTTTCTCTCAGTGAGGAGCTGCAGTTTTTCATAGTTGCCTTTAGTCCCCTCTTGGACTGAAGTCCAGACTCACCTCGAATTCAACAGGGCTGAAGGAGAAGCTGTGTTGCCCATTGGAAGAGAATTCCAGCACATTCCCTGCCACTGGTTAGTAAAACCAGAGGTTTACACCTGGATGTGAGACATCCTCCCCTCCATGTCCCTCCAGCCTGGCTCTGCCCTGGACGTACCAGCACTGGAGCTGAGTGTTCTCTGGATTGAAAATCCCTTCTCTTGTTGCCCAAGTCGTCCTGTTGGCTGTCCCTGCAGCTCTGCCTTAATTATCTCCCCGAATCAAGGAGCTCTGATGAAATCCAAGCTGAAGATGGCCTGGGGGTGTCTGCAGTACCAAAGCACAGAGGTTGGAGTGTCAGACAGAAAATGTATTTTCTCACTCTTCTGTAATGAAGAAACCATCCTGAACCTCCCTCCTGCAGACTCTGATGTGTTTTTAGGGTGGTTTTTGGCTAATACCCAGTTCAGAAGTCACAAGCTGTGGTGTCTCCCATCTGCATCCAGAGTTGTGCTGGATCTGCCTGTGAAAAATAGATATTTTTTGACTTGGATCCCTTCTGGTAAGATGTGGATGACCCTGGGGTGCAGTGACTGATGGCAGGTCAACAGGCCCCTCACCTGCCCGAGACATGGTGGGGTTGGGGTCAGTGGAAGTGCCCAGGGGCTGAAAGGTGGGTTTGGAGCAGCATCCCAAAGGGGACAGGTCCCACCTTGTTTCTGCTGTGTAGGGAGGGACGTGGTCAGTGGTGGGTTTGGCAGTGCTGGGGAGGTTGGACTGGATGATCTCAGAGGGCTTTTCCCACCTCAGTGAGTCTGGGGAGGTCCCTGTGGCTCCCTCAGGGTTGTAGGAAAGGGAACCCTCACGCAAGGTCGGCTTTTTGAGCCTTAAAAATGGGATTGCAGACATAAATTGGTGCTGCTTGACCTGGAAGGTGTTCTCAAAGATTGGTGTCTTCGTGTCCTGCGAGGTTTTCAGGGCAGAGTGTCCAGCTCTGCCCTTGGTCAGGTGGAATGTCACCTCCCTCTTGTCTCTCTCAGCTGTTCCCAAACCCCTCAGTGTGTTTGTGTGAATATTTCAGAGCAGCTCCATTCCCCACCTCAGCTCGTGTTATGCTGGGATACAAAGTGGGATTTCTCCGCCTCCAGACACCTCCTGTTTGGAATGCAGTGGATCTGCAGAGTTCCCAGCACAAAGGGATCCTGTTTCCTGTGCATTTATCACAAGCTCTGTCCTCCAAACCAGTGTAAAGGGACGATGTAAAGGGACGGTGGCGGCGTCTTGGACCTGCAATCACATGAAGCCACGGGGACTCCTTGTTTTCCACGGAGAACTGCACTTGGAATTCCTTTGCTGAGGGGAGTGTGAGACTGGGAACACTTTGCTCCCTCCCCTGCTGTGTCAGGACCGTGCTGGTGGTGATCCCTGAGGCAGAGGAGGGCGGGCTGGGATGAGGGAAGGGGGGCAGTTGGGTTGTGGAGCAGCTGCTGGAGGAGTCTGGATGGAAGTTCTTCCTCTTAGCAGGATGTGATGGGAAGGGATCCTGTCCTGGGGGAGAGGAATCCGTCTCTGGGGACTGATGGATGCCCAGAGATCCCTGGGAGTGCCCAAGGCCAGGCTGGAAGGGGCTTGGGGCAGCCTGGGCTGGTGGAAGGTGTCCCTGCCCGTGGCAGGAGTGGGATGAGATGGACTTTTCCAACCCAGACTTTTCTGGGATTTTGTGATGAGTCTGTAGACAATGGAATATTCCTGAAGACTGAGAAGGGCCAGGAATGAGTCAAAGAGGAGCAACATCCATAAATCCAGACTCCTGTAGCTCTGGGATGCAGGAGGGCTTTGGCACAGCAAAGACTTGGCAAAGAGAAGAACGTTGTCCTTGTCTGCTGGGAGGAGAATCTCCCTTTGTAATCCCAGGAACGGCATTGGATCAGCAGCTGGAGGCACTTGGAAACCAAATGCCCTCCCTGGGCCTCACTGGCACCGTGTCCCCTTCTCTGGCACCGTGGAAGTGGAATTCTGGGAGCCAAATTCCCTTTAATTTCTACCAACTCGTTTGATTTAGCCCTCGTGTCCTGGCTAAACTGACTGGAAAAATGGGATCCTTCGGACAGGATTGCTTAGAGATGGCCTGGAATTAGGGAAAACCAGTGTGTGATGGTGAATTGCTGCTTCTGACCCGTGAGCTGGATGCAGAGTGATCCCAAACAGGTTTCCTGCCTCCTTTGGGGCAGCTGGGATGAGCAGAAGGTTGGGAACACAGTGAGTGGATCCTCCAGTGCCTTTTGAGGTGGGTTGTCGGTGTCTGCAGGAGGCCCCACCAAGTCTTGTGCTTCACATGCAGTTTAGTTCCGTTGAGCCCCCAGGTTCCTGGGAGTTTGGGAAGTCCTGGAGCACATCTGAGCCGGTGGTGTGAGTGCCAGGAACTCAGCCGGAGCTGTGCCCTTCCCAGGGATCCTTCCCCTCCCACCACGAGCTCTGTGTCAGAGCTGGGGCAGAGGAACAGGAGGGTTTGGTGCTGCCAGAGACACGTTGGAGCATCTTTTGTCTTCCAGACCAGCTTGTGCTTGGGAAAAGTGCCGTGGAATTTCACAGCTGGGAATTGTTTACCCAGCCCGGCCTGCCAGCTGTGTTAGACAGCTGTTGTTTCATATTAATTATTATATGTCTGATTGTATTTTATGCTCTTAGAGCAGCTGGAAGTTGGTTTTTTAGGAATGTTTAATAATTATCACCGATACATTACACCTTAGAGTTTCAGAATATCCCTTCTCCACAGCAAACTGGCTCCTTTGCCTCCCGGCTCCCCACTCTGGGGACTGTCTGTGCTCACAGTTAAACCTGAGCTTAAGGATTTGTAAGTAATATTAAGATATTTTTCAAACTTGAGGGCTTGCACTGTCTCTGCTGAACCCCTCAGTTTTCCTCAGGATAAAGGCCTTGCTGAGGTTCTCTAATGTAGAATAAATCAGTGTGTGTGTGAAGAAGGTCCCGAGGCTCTGCAGTGACCTTTGGCCGTGACGTGATTGGGGGTGAATGTTCTGGGGCTCCAGGCACGGCAAGCCAGGCTGGGGTGGGAATGAGATTTGACTTGGAGATGCCACGTCTGGGGTTCTGGGTTTGCTGGGTTTGCTGGGGGTGCTCATTGGTCTGACAGGCTGTGAAAGCCAATAATGGCTTTATTTCCTTTAATTTGCCCAGTTATTGGATCAGCCTCTCCTGATCCGTGTGGTGACAGCCCCCGGGGTGCTGGGGGGGTTAATTCCTCCATCTATTTCATGGAACACGATGCATTTTGTTCACCTTTGTGTTCTGTGACACCCTGTGGTGATGATGTCTTAGTGCTTTTAATATCCCAAGTGGAAATTTGACCTTAAGATCGTTCCTAAGGTAAAAATGTGGTGGAAGGCAAAACACACCAGCCATCACTAGAGACTGTGGGCAGTGCTGACATGTTCCACTCTGATCCAACCTCTCCGGGTGTCCTTCCCCCCCCCAGGACTGGATCCTGCACCAGAACAACCCCTCCCACATCGAGAGCTGCCGCAAGCTCCGCCAGCAGTAAGGGATCTGCTCGGGATCCATGGGAATGGCTTGGGAGGGGAGGGACAATAAATCCCAGCAGCAGTGAGGGATCTGCTTGGGAATGGCTTGGGAGGGATAATAAATCTCAGCAGCAGTAAGGGATCTGCTTGGGAATGGCTTGGGAAGGGAGGGATAATAAATCCCAGCAGCAGTGAGGGGTCTACTTGGGATCCACTGGGAATGGCTTGGGAGGGGAGGGACAATAAATGCCCCCCAGTGCCACCCCTGCCATGGGCAGGGACACCTTCCCCCAGCCCAGGGCTCCAGCCTGGCACCCTCCCAGGGGTGGGGCAGCCTGTTTTTAGGGTAAAAGGTGGGGTTTGTGCTGCAGGTGGGAAATCTGGCTTTTGCAGTGACCCCTGTGTTCCCCCTGGCAGGTACCCGGAATGGAACCCCGAGGCTCACTCCTCCAGCAGGTAACTGGAGTGCTCTCCCAGCTGTCCCAGTTGTGGGCTGGAAATAAGGCAGTTCCTTTCCCTGGTTTGCCCCCTGCAACCTCTCTCACGGGGTTGTAGTTCTGGTGTACAATTAGGGGGGTGGTTTGGGGGGTTTCTCCTAAGTTTGAGAGAATCCCAGACAGGTTGGGTTGGAGGGACCATAAAGCCCATCTCATTCCACCGGGGAATTCCACTAGTCTTGGTCCAGTTAATCCCATTTGCAGCCTGGCCTCCAGAGATCCCTTGGGAGTGACATCATCACAGGCTGAAAAAAACCTGGAATTCATCAACTCCCATCTCTGGCCTTTGCTGCCTGTGATGAATTCTTTTTAAAAACACACCCTGTGCATTAATTCCCTTTGAAGCTCAGCAGAGCTGGGCTGTTTTACTGCTTCAGCATTTGTACATGTTTGCCTCGTGTGCAAATGGGGGGGAGAGCACTGGAATTGGCCTTGGATTTTCCTGAGATTTTGCTTTAATTAGTCTGACATCCTTCCTGGGAAGCTGAGTTCCAAAGCTGGATGTGCAGGCCAGGCTGCTTTGCTTTTCTCTCTGTTACAAACCAGGAGAAATAAAGCAAATAAACTTCTGAAACTTCCATGAGGAGAATAATCACAGGATCATGGAATGGTTTGGGTGGGAAAGGACCTTAAAGCTCATCCAGTTCCACCCCTTGCCACGGGCAGGGACACCTCCCACCAGCCCAGGTTGCTCCAACCTGGCCTTGGACACTTCCAGGGATCCAGGGGCAGCCACAGCTTCTCTGGGCAACCTGGGACAGGGCCTGCCCACCCTCACAGGGAGGAATTCCTTCCCAATATCCTGTCTAATGCTCTGGCACTGGGAAGCCATTCCCTGTGTCCTATCCCTCCCTCCCTTGTCCCCAGTCCCTCTCCAGCTCTCCTGGAGCCCCTTCAGGCCCTGCCAGGGGCTCTCAGCTCTC